ACCCTAAACCCTGAACCCTTTAGGCTTTCCGGTCTTAGGGTTTGGGAGGAGGGCCTGGCGGAATCGACAGCTTCCACGAGCCGAAGCGCCATTTGCCAGGCCCCCGGCGCCTCACAGGCGTGGATGCCTGGGGTCAGGGCTTCAGGGCTTTCAGGCTGCACTTCGGTGTATTTTTTAAAACTTCAATAACCCTTTCTTTGGGGTTTAGGGTTTTGGGTTTCAGGTTTAGGGTTTATGGTTTAGGGTTTAGGGCTCTGGGTTGATGGCTTCAGGGCTTTGAGGCTGCACTTTGGGGTTTAGGGTTTAGGGTTTAGGGTTTAGGGTTTAAGGTTGATGGCTTCGGGGCTTTGAGGCTGCGATTTAGGGCCTTTAGGGCTCTGGATTGATGGTTTCAGGGTTTTGGAGGTGTACCTGGACTCTAAAAGCCTTCCAAATCAGGGCTCCTTATTATGATCTCCTCTATGCCTTAAACCCTAAACCCTCAACCCTAGGTAGGTTATTGGGGGTTAGGGTAGGCGTTAGGGTTAGGGTTCAGGGTTTCAGCGATCTGGGTCCAGGCATTGAGGATGGAAGGGTTGGACTCGAGGATATCAGGGCTCCTGAAGGGCGTCTATCTAGGAAGTACGGCTTTTTAAGGCTCTAGGGGACTTCTCGGGGTATAGAGTTTCGGGTCTAGGATTTTGTGGGTTCCTGCTGTACGCGGCCAGTGTTTCATGGTATCTTTGGGGTGTCTAAGGTCTTTGACCTGTTCGAGTGGCTTCTTAAGATGTCGCCAGTTTTGTTCAGGAAGTGATTCAAGATACGGTACTTTAATAGTAATTTAGAGCCCGACGGTCTCAAAATAAACCCTAAGCCAAACCACGAAAACCCTACAGAACCAGTAAAGGAACCATATCATCAAATAGGAGTTCTCAAACAAGAACTTAGATGCTGGAGTTGTAGGCCACCAAGCTCCGGCGAATTTCCATGGCCTCCATGTCCAATGGGTTTAGTTTTGTTTCTTGTTTTCAGATTTTTTGGGTTTGGTAAGGTTTAATTTTGCGGCTTTAGGGGTTTATGGTTCAGTGGTGGATATCCACGGCCTCCATGTCCAAGAGCAACTGCAAAGCACGCTGCCACTCTCCAGCCGCTGCAAGACAACTCACGGCAGAACCGTAGCCTCCGTGGTCAATGAAGGCTGTGCACAAGGTATGCCCTATATATAATCTGTCTAAAGATCTTATTGTTTCTCTTTAACTTACGTTTCCTTTATGGGGCGACTAAAGAAAGAGACTGAGGCCGGAGCTGATCTCATTACATACCAGGCGAATCGCTGGCATGGAAGAGAGCAGCGACAGGGAAACTTGCCACTGTCCCTCGCTGTCGCAGGCACTGATGCTCGCATTGCAGCTTATCTCATCCACGGAGAGTCGCACGGCCGGCATGCAGCAGCACACCTCAGACACTGACCGTAGGGTTTAGGATTTAGGGTTCAGGGATGAGAGGACGGACAAACACAGTTTAACGTCCTACCGGTACATCCTGAACCCTGAACCGATCGAGGACCTCAGTTGGGGTTGGCCTTTGCTACGCAGGTTCAAAGCAGTTGCAAATAGCAGTCGTGAAGTGAGCAAAAATTGAACCCGACAGGTCCAAGCACCTAAGACTCCTACATAACATATATATATATATACATATACACATAAATATATATATATATATATATACTCTCCCGAATATTCGTATTAACCTACATAGCTACCATCCTGAACCCAAATACAAATCTAAAACCCAAACCCTAAACCCCCCCTACAAACTGAACAACAACAGCAACAGCAAGAAAAACACAAAGAGGGACCCTACCCCAAACCCTGTAAACCCTAAACCCTAAACCCTAAACCCTACAAACCCTACAAACCCTAAAAACCCTAAAAACCCTAAAAACCCAAAACCCAACAAAAACAACAAAGAGGGACCCGGGGCACCTCCAGAGCTTCTTGCCAGTAGCCGGCCCTGCCGAAGGTGCACGTCGTCGCATTGAAGCTGATCGCGTCTGCTGTCACCTTCTCTTGGGCTTGTAGGGTGTAGGGTTTAGGGTTTGGGGTTTAGGGTTGAGGGTTTAGGGTTTAGGGTTTAGGGTCGTATGCTATAAGTGACTTAATAAGGGTTCGGGTTTAGGGTTTAGGGCTTGGGGTTTAGGGTTTAGGGTTTAGGGTTTAGTGAGGCAATCACGATCACATACCATAACAACAATTATTCGAACTAGGTTTTGAACTTGGACAAACTAGAGCGCATACATACTACTGGTGGTCTACGTCAATGTCTACAACGAACCTTACAAACAACAATATAAAGCCCCAAACTACTACAGTACTCAAACCCTACACCCTGAAAGCCCGAACAACCTAAGCCCCAGCTCCCAAACCCCAAGCCCCCAAATCCTGAACCCTGGCAGATTCTTTGGGAAAAACAGCCCCGCAGAGTCCTTCTAGAACCCTTACCCTCTAGGGCTCAAAATAGCCCAGAAGCCTCATACCCTAAACCCTAAACCCTAAACCCTAAACCCTAATCCCTAAACCCTAAGGCTCAAAATAGACCAGAAGCCTCATATAGCTTGGTCTTTGGGCCAAAAGCCTTAAAATATGGGTCCTCAGAGCCTTAGGGCTACAAAGAGAACTTGAAGGGCCCGTAAAGAAGAGCCTACATCGTCAGAACACCCGAAACCAAAACCCTAAACCTAAACCCTAATCCTAAACCATATAAACCCTAAACCCTAAACCCTAAACCCGAAACCCTACACACCCTAAACCCCAAACCCCAGCCCCTCAACCCTAAACCCTAAACCCTACACACCCTTGACCCCAAACCCTAGCCCCTCAACAGCCTCCGCGGCCCTCATGCTGGAGAACTGGTGCCAAGCCTCCCGCCAGAGCTCCCCAGCCTCGCACCGCTTTAGGGTAGAGGGGTTCGGGTTTAGGGTTTGGGGTTTAGGGTTTAGGGTTTGGGGTTTAGGGCTTAGGGTTTAGGGTTTGGGGGTTAGGGTTTAGGGTTACTACATAAGATCCTCCGAAGGGCGACATATCCCAAAAGGCCTGCGTTGAAAAGGTGTCGAGGCTTTATCGTGTAATGAAGGGGCCTTAATACATAGAAAGTTTTGGGGCCCCTTATACCATAGATAATTATAAATATACTATGGACCACCCCCTAAACCCTAAACCCTAAACCCTAAACCCTAAACCCTAAACCCTAAACCCCCAAAAAGAATAGTATTGGTAAT